AATTTGAAAGCAAATATATCGAGAAGTAAGAATTTCTTCGCAAAAATCTACGACCGGTGACTTAATATGTATGAATATTTCCAGATCTTAAGGGTCAGTCAAATCCCCTAATAAATTAAAAAACGATTCATGACCACCTATTGGCTATTACTTTGGCGAAATCAAATGAGGAGCCTGGGTGCAGATATTTAAAATGCACCAAACTTCCAAGGTTTGTCCGATTGAGACGAAATTTGGCATATCGTATGGAATTGAGTCTACGATTTACTGTGTTAATTTTCATTGAAATCGAATCGGGTATATAGCTCCCATATATATTTTCGTCCGATTTTAGGTAATTGGTGCACCCAACTCCCAATGCTTTTCCTATTGAGACGAAATTTGGCATATCGTATGGAAATGAGTCTAGGGTAGAGTGTGTTAATATTCATAGAAATCGGATCAAGTATATATATATAGCTCCTAAGTATATATTCTCCAAGGTTTGTCCGATGGAGACATAATGAATTTGTCCTTGCATAACGTAATGAATTGAGTCTGGAGTGACGTGTGTAAATTTTTATAGAAATCGGTTCAGATTAAGATGTAGCTCCCACATATATTTTCGTCCGATTTTATGAAAATGGCCCACCAAATTTTCAATGTTGGTCCGACTGCGATGAAATTTTGCACAGCGTATATAATTTAGTCTACAATGAAGTGTATTAAGTTTCGTTTAATTCGATTTAGATTTTTTATCCGATTTCATGATGATGCATGACAATTTCATACGGATGATGTTAAGGGAACAAGTCTACTTTATAGTAGTAATATATTATGTGGGGAAATGCATACTTCCCGATATATGGGCCTTGAAAGTTCGGAACATATCTTGGTTAAAACGGCCATATTGCCACAAAGGCAATATGGAGCCCCTAAACTTGACTTCAGCCCAATTCAGTTCTATGTTACAAATAACCTTCAGTTCAAAATTTACGAGAAATTCGAAAAAGAAGGTCTTGTATTTTCTATAGACTTGACCCAGTTTTTCCCACATTCTTTTATTCAGCATGCCAATGCATCACCCCATTAGCTGTAACTATATATGTACATCAAAAACATTTACTTTTTTATTTAAAATCTCAATATTACCCCATCATGTTGATGTCATATCGATGATGTGTCTTCACTTTCAACTTCATAATAAGAAAAATCTTCCAAAACCTAAAGAAAAACGTGCACACCAAACAAGACGTGGAAATGCAATGCTACGAAAATGGGAAAAATATAAAACTAGGCACACACATAAAAAAACATCATTTACTTTTGACCAATGCACATACAAACGTGTGTGTCCGTGTGTATGTTTGTGCATCACACTCACTTTTGTGGGAACGGAAAAGTGCAAGATGAAAATAAAATGTAATAATAATGATGAACGTCTGGACGACACTTACCACGCAAAAATAATTTTCACAGCACTGATAATTAAATGCAAATATAATATTTTTTATTTATTTTTGTAATCTTAAACAATGCACAATGTACTTCTCGTTTGTTTCCTTTTCTTCTTTTTTACTCACAAACAAATCAAAAACAATAACAAAATTGAAACGCAATTGACAAATGCGTTACATATTTCTTTACTTTTTTCTCTCACAATTTGTTTTACTCTCTTGTTTGAATTTATCTTTTTATTAATAAAATATTATAATTTTTGATTTCAACTTGTTTATTAATTCATTTATTTAGTTAAAAAGTACACATCCGCGATGACCGCACGTCTCTACTTCCGACTAACAAACCGACTAAATAACAAATAACAATCCAATTTGTTTTGTTTATGTTCTTTCTTCAGGTAATCGTAATCTCCCTCTCTCTCACTCACTGGGTAGTATGAGTAATCAATGTGGTTGTTTGCATTGAATTCGGTTACCTGATTGACAAATGGATTGACGTTACAACACAATGTAGGCGCTGGGCGTTTGCGTTGTATATTGGCGTGCCTGGCAAAACAAAAGTGTTTTATGATAAAACAGCATACAAATCATGTCAAATAAATATCAAAATAAATTGATTCAATGTCAGAATAGAAGAATTTGGTTGTCCAAAAAGATATATCAGGAATAATATTATTTTTAAATATATGTATGTCTTTTGCAGCAATATCTTTATCATGTGGTCGGTTCCCGTAATGCAAGAATCTACGAGTTTTTACTGTTTTTTTTCGATATTATAAATTAAATTTTGTGATCATAGTAAAAAGTAGTAGATTCTTGCAATGCGGGAAGACTCCAATTATTTATGTTTTATTTTTAAAAATGTGTTTAGACTACGCCTTCTAAATCGAGTTACCAAATCCTAGCCGTTTAGACTGGTATTAAAATGATATAAAGCCAATCAGCTGTTATTTGTTTACGTATAAATACACATTTGGTCTATTCTCGTACAGCAAGAATCTACAAATTTCTATAATTTTTTTCGATATCATAAAGAAAATATTTGGTCTGTTCCCGTACTGCAAGAATCTACTAGATTTTACTATTTTCTTCGATATCATAAAGGAAAATTCGTTATCGACCAGTTGTTATCATAGTAAAAAATTGTACATTTTGGCACGTTCTGGGACAGACTAATTTCTAATTCCATGTAGCAGCCCAATATTTTCATAATTCTAGTGGATCCATAATCAATATGAAGGATACGCATTATCAATATGAAGGCTAGAAAATCAGATTTATGGGCCAAATTTTAAAATTCGAACAGAATTCTTCTATATTATTAGCAAGAAAATTGACCGAAATGACCACCCATAGCCATCGAACCAAATGGGATTTTTTTTGTTCCAGTTTTTGTCGATAGATTGGATTATATTCACCCTAAATTATAAAATTTAAATTGCGTTCTCAAGTGCATCAGTCTAAATACAATTCAATGCTGTTTAATAGGCCTCTTGATCTGAAGCTGAAGATTGGTTTCTTCTATAGATGAGCTGAAGGTAGGCTTCTGCTATAGATTCTATAGAAAAAAATGAAGATCGGATACTTCTATAAAATATATGAGATATAAAGGCTAGCTTCTTCGTTCGGATATATGAAGGCTTGCTTCATCGTTAGGAGAGATGAAGTTCTGCTTTTTTCGATAGGAGAGTTGAAGGTCTGCTCTGAAGAGCTGAATGTCCTCATTATTTTATAGAAGACCTGAGTGTCAGCTTCTTCTATAGAAGGGCTGGAGATCTGCTTATTCCTATGAAAAGTTAAAAGTTTGATTGTTTTGAAGAATTGGTAGAAAATTGAGTTTTTTTTTCCTATTGAAAAGCTGAAGAAGGACTTCCTCCTGTAGAAGGTGGTCTTCTAAGAAAAAATCACGATATTTTATTGATGAACAGCATACTTTTTCCCAAAGAAGTCCAGGAGGCTTTTTTTTCGACCACAAAAGTCTTCATGCAGGCAAAAAAAGGTATACTTAAGGAATATCAAAATATTCTTTTTAATTCTGTGATTTAAGCGAATACCCGAAGGTCCACTCATTGAAGAAGAAGAGACTGTCTTCATATATAAGACCAGAAAAAACGTGTAATAGGAGACCAGAAGAATATAAAAGTGCGTTTAGATTTTCCCCATAAGGACCCCAACTTAATCAGCAAGGAGATATTCCTTTAAAGCAAGAAACACCTTCATGTCGTGTGGAAATATGAGAGAATCTATTTTTACAAGGCCACTAGGGAACTTTCGGTCGATCGAATACCTACCTCGGACGGACATGGAAAGTTTTTTACCCTCCAAGAATACGAAGTATGAAATTACAAAAGGGAATCCGCCACTGAGCGGTCACAATTGGGTGTTTCAAAAACTCTTTGGAATCCTAGCTTTCGGCTCCAGCACCCAAAAAGTGCCAAACCGAAAGAAGTACTGGATACAAAGGTATATCGGAGAGTAATTTGTTGTTGCAAAGGATTGGTAAGGGCCTCAACTTGATAAGCGAGAAGTAATTCCTTTTATGCAAAAAACACCTTAAGGTCGTGTGCTGGGACCTATAGCAAGTTTGTTTTTGGAATAAGATATATATGGAATATATGTATAACCTCCAAATCTATTTGTCCGGTAATTGCCAAGCTTTGTGCAAAACATTGATTTCTATGGGTATGAAAGTATGGGTATGGTATGCAGGGATCATGACAGGTCATTACAGGACCAGGTCTCTTCTTTCAAAATGGGAAATTAGTGAAGACAAACACTGCCCTCTATGTGAAGATAAAGAAGAGACGGTTTACTCTGTGGAAGCCCCATTCTTCGAAACAGAGGGCATCAATCAACCTTTTTCTCCGAATCATTTTTAGTTTTACGAAAATCTTGTAATGGCTGAGTAACCAATCCTAACCTCTAAATTTTTCTTCGTATTTTTTTCTAATGGACCATAGATCTTCGAATGGGGCTACTGTTATCTGGTAGTCTCAAATCCTCTACCCTAACCTTTGGTATAGCCCCCATATAATTTTTCCTTGGGAACGTGGTTTCGCACTGCCGCATAACTTTTAATTGTGTTATAATTGTGTTAGCCCGCAATAGTTGCACCTCCAAAATTTCGATATTTTGAGTGCGTTTTTCCTCAAAATTGCCTGTCATTTAGTATTAGTAGTATCCCAACGAAATAGTTCAATATAAAAAGTTAACCCCATTATCCGGTATTTTAGGATCTTGATAACTTTTTTCTATGAAATTTCATATTTTGGGGTTTTACCATAGCCTCCATCATGGTAATTGCACCATGTTCAACACACAATCGAGTTTAGGTATTTTTATACACATCACCATAAGCTGGACATTAAACCTGATAGAGAAGTCTATACAAAGTTCGTCTAAATCAAACTGAACGTAGTTTTTATTTGTTAAAAGTTTCTGTTTTATTTTCATTTATAAAATGAATACAAAAATTTAAATTACATGCAACCAAACAAAATAACATAAATATTAGAGATATGAAAATGATCAAATAATCATGCATCCATCTACTACCACCACTACTAAGGTTTAAACAACTCCTGCAATATATAGAAATTGATGTTGTTCCGCTGCTGATAACGTTTGGTATGTTTTTGCCAATCGCTTTTAATGCGTTTCCATTTCATTAAATGTTCCCCTAGCAGTTCATTTTTATTGGCATATTTTATGGGATCATCGGCAGCTATTAAATCATCTCCAGCACCATATCTCTTCGGCTCCGATTGTGGTGCGATTTTTGGTAAATCTGTTTCCTTGGGTTTTGGTAAACTTGTTACCTCCCTAATCTGACCCTTTCGCAATTTTGTCACCAATTCTAGACCATTGTCATCACGATGTGCTGGGGATGGTGATCGGGTTTCACGATAACATGGTATATTTGGATTACGTGGTTGATTGGCCATCCATGCCCTACAAATGGGATACAGAGCCGTTTGTTCGGTATATTTTGAGAGATCCAAAGTACGATCGAACAGTTTCATAACAAATGATTCAGCTTGGATTTTATTTTGACCCGCCGATGTGGCTAATTCACGACGACGCTTTTTGCTAGGTGTCGAGGGAGGTGGTGAATTTTTGCGATCATTTTGCGGAAGAGGTTTTTTACGTGGACGACCCCTTTGTGGACGCCGTGCAACCGGTTGTTGCTGTTGTGGTTCTTCTTCTTGTTGATATTCTTCATCATCATTGTGTATATCTTCTTCTTCCTCTTCATAGGATGATGGTATATCGTCCACCTCCTGATTGTGGTGTAGACTTTCATTGGATGCATTCTTCAGACGATGTTTTTCTGATTCACTGAGTTGTTTTCGCCTTTGGGGTGGGGTTTTCATTTTGTATTCGAGCTTTTGATTTTAAATTGGGGTTTGAAAACTGTAAAAATATCTAAGAATTATTTTAATTAATTCAAAATAAATTTATACTTTAATTTTTTAAGGGAACTGGATTGGCAATGTCAATACGACTTGCAGGCATCCAATTACAAGTGCCAAAACTTACCTCAAATTTACCGCAAATGTTCCCCACTAGTATAAATTGTTATATATATTCAATATACGTTATTAAATTGTGTGTTTATAACAATATTCTTTTATATTTTTATTTATAAAAACAAAACTGAACTGAAGCCTTCCATATAGAGCTGGCAAACAATCGATAGCATATTAATGTCGATTAGTTGTTTAATATATATTAGGGATCTAAAGATCGAAAATGACATATGGCAGGTCTTTAGAAATCAATTATGGGATACGTTTTTTAAGTGAGAAACAAATGTTCCCGCAAACAAAAACGTATAATTTTTTAAATGTATAAAGAAATTTATAATACAAATATCCTTGAAGGTTCTGGAACAGAGCAAAAGTCTGAACTAGGGTAATCTAATCGATTAAAATAAACTTGTTGAGACTGGACAAAAGTTTCAAAAATTAACCTATTTACACAGGATTTGTTCCCGTGCTCAAAAAGTGGTAAAAATTTTTAAATCTATTAAGGGAAAATCGAAAACAATTTCGACTAATAGCAAATTTTTGCAGGTTTTGGAATATAGCAAAAATTCAAATTAAATCCTTTTCTTTTAATTATTGATCTGTTCCCGCACTGCAAGAATCTACTATATTTTACTATTATATAAATTCGTTATCGTAGTAAAAAGTAGTAGATTCTTGCAGTACGGGAACAGACCATATAAAAACTATTATGTCAGCTCATTGCATCAACAGCAGATTTTTACGCCTTATTAAATCTACCTTGATTTGTCTCTTGCTGGATCTGCAATTGTGCGCCTGTTTCCGCACACAAAAACTTATGAACTGTTTTAGGTTTAAAAAGAAAAAATCTTTCAGGATCAGGAACACACACTTGATACATGTTCCAGACCAAGTTCCATGTTTTTAACAACGGTAACAATTTTTGCTTTATGATATCGAAATATTCGTAAAAATTAGTGATACTTGAAGTACGAGAGCTATACATAGCCAAAGACCTTTGAGGATACGGCTTCATTTGGAACAGCTACCATCGAAAACGCTATTTTTGCTGGGAGCACTGCCTTTTGACTTTTTTTAGTTGTGTCTTCTGGTTCTGCAGAGCCCATACCCATAGTCTCCACATTGGTAGGTGGTGGACATGGGAAACTATCGTTGTATTAATTTTGTTGGTTAGAAGTTCACCATTAGCATTGTAAGAGTAGACACGTATGTACATCCCCAAGAACCTTAGGTGTTTCCTAATCGGAAGGAATTTCTTATGGCTGATATTACTGAAGCATTGGTTGCAATTAATCTGGCAAAATATATTGTCCTGATATGCTGAAAGTCTGCATTCTTCTGCCTAACGGCTCTGTTTTTAGTAGAAGGTGAATCGTCCCGTATATCAACAGGGGTGTTTTCCTTTTCTTCTTTATGTCACTCAAAACATATGTAAAATCGTCTCCTCCCGCGGCTAAGGTCGTTTGGGTTAAACTTTTCTTCTTCATTTCTTCAGCCAGACACTCTCCTGACATTTCTGGGTGGTAGGTGTGGATGCCACGTTGGGCGCCATTCATGTAGCAGCCAGTTTTCAAAAGATAAATATCTAAGGAATTTTGTTCGAGATTCTGGAAATAAAAATACCAATGCCATTTTAAGACATCTTATTCCATTCGCGGATATTTGATGAAGGCAAAGCTAAGTATGAGCTACCAAAATGTATTTTAAAAATAAGGCATTTATAAATGACCAGGACATCGAAATGAAACCTATTTTCCTTAATATCTCTACCGCATGTGGCCAAAGCTATAGAATTATTGGTAAAATTGAAGTCATTGCCGATTATGAGAAAAAGAAAGAAAATATGGCGCGACGTTTGTACCAATTTCGTGTTATGCCACGGAATTGGTACAAAGTGTTTTAAAAATGCCAATCTGACCATAAGCTTAAAAAATCTTACGTTTGCTTAAAGGAACTGAAGTGTTTGGGGTCCATATAAATGCTAAGATGGACCTGTGGGCAAGGAAGGGAGGGTTGGTGTGGGTCCGGTCACCAAGGACCCAGAATCATCACAATGTTGTGTTTATTTTTGTGTTTATACATATTGGAAAATAGTTCTTGTGAGGCCCTGATTTGGTTGGCGGGTTATGGACCTCCCTGAGGCCGATAGTTAGTCCGATGTGCCAACCCAATTCATGTATGGAGCCGTAACATGTTTGCTGCCTTTATTTAATCCTCTCTTATAATATTCCATACGGAATTGATATTCATGACTGATGGGCTGAACATAACGGACTTTATAAAACTTGTCCTGAATCTCTTTAGAAGAAATGTAGACTTAAGGGGGGAATTTACTCCCGAAACTATTTTACATACACAATTATATATATCCCCAAAAAAGGTATAGTTCATAATAGCGCGCTACATGGCAGCCTTTTCTTTATTAATAGTAATTAAATTTATAACGCCGTAATTGATTTTTAATTTAAGATTATAAGAGCAGTAAATAGAATTAGGTTTCTTTTCAGCTTTCAATTAAATTTATAACAAATACTCTGTATTTTGTTAAGTGAAATTCTTTGTGGTTGTTTGGTTTTTGTTTTTTTTTTTCAGAAGAATAAAATGTTTTTTGTTATATTGCCTTAATACAAATTAAAAGTTAATTTTTGTAGATAAAATCTAAAAAATAATAATAAAATATATTAATTTATTAATTAGCTCACTATATAAATAAGACAGGTCGGTCAGGTTTTTTTCTTTTTTGTTTTCTTTTTGAAACACAGCAGAATTTTTCATTTTGTTTTTATGAAGCATAGTGCATAAATAACAAGCGGCGGTGCCAATAATGTTAAGGGCTTTCATAGCACTCCTCCATGTAAGTTTTGAGCTCCGCTGCAGGGATAAACAAACAAACGAACGATTTAATTTAAAGAGAGAGAAAAACGAAATCAATGGAGATCATCTTCAACGAATGCTTTGGATAATTAAATAGTCGAATCCATCCAATATATTTTACCTCACATATCTATACAATATCACGGGGAGCACTTAAAAAGTGTACCGTATTAGAAACTTGATGTGTTATTTCACTTAGCGTTTCCTTGTGAACACCACCGAATAATATCAATTCACCGTGACCGGGTACCATTGTCGATAGTATTAGTCTCTCGGGGGCCCCCGGTATGACACCATAATTCTTATACTCTAACCATTCTATATAGGGTTCTGCTGTTTCGCATAAGGCATTCGATAAATCACATACAAACAATGACAAGACATTGCGTTTCGCCCTCTTCGGTGATGGTTCTTTGACGACTTTCTGTTCGACCTGGGCGGCACTGCGTCGCGAATTGCGTAATGCATTCATTTTTTCCTCCATGCGTCGTATACGTTCATTGTGATCCTTCGAAAGGGATCGTGGACGGTTTTGTACATTAAAGGCAGCCATACGGAATTGATCCTCGTATAGTTCATCGAATCGTTTGGGCAGTAGGGGCTCATTTTCACGGCAGCGCAGGGCAAGATTGCGTTGTAGGCGATTGGCAGCCTCCTGATCTAGGCCGCCATTGGCTTCATTATCCTGATGCTGATGATGAGAGCCATTAAACCGCGGTGAAGACCCCGCCGATGTTGAGGGCCGATTTTGATTTCTTTCCTCCGGCGGCGAGGCCGCCTGATGCAAATCCCTTAAACTGCCATAGCGCGGTTGTAAATTATGAATGTGATTTTGGTTGTTCACGAAGTTGTTGTTATTGGCATTTTGTTGATGCTGATTGAGAATCGCCCTCCTTTGGGCAAAATAGTGATCATCGGGACCATCACGTGGTATGGCACCGGGTGGTCTCCTTTGATTTTCCACACGATTATGATTGACGGCAGGTATTCTGACGGGCCCCGCACCATCCATCATGGCTCGGGGTCTATGCCTATCCAAAGCATTGTTGTGGTTATTGCGTCCTAAACCCTCACCTGGCCGGGGAGCAGCCCTTCCACCACCCACCGGTACCCGAGCCTGTTTCATTAGCTGGAAATCTTGTGGCATATTCGGCGTGGGCCCCAACACAACCAATTTCGAGTCAATTTTACACGCAGGATTACACCACATATGGGAGGCGGCATATTTTTTATTACGCACCGGTATTGATTTCCATTGCCACAAATCCCTTGACATATCCAGAAGCCAGGCATCGGAATAGACACTATTGGGGCCACCACAACCACCCACCACCAACAGATGTTTCTCATCCAACACCAACTGAAATTGTCCATAACGAGCTGGCGGCTTCAGGGTACCTAGGAAAGTGGGTTGCCACCAACGATGTTCTTGGAGGTCTAAACACCAGGTTTCATTGGAATTCGAATTGACACCATCAATAATTTGATAACCACCAAATATGACCATTGTATCCCCATGGACACTGGCCGAGTGGCCAGCTAGGGGTGGAGGACTGGTCAATGTCAGCGCCACTGTCCAGCGATTGGTCAGTAAATCATAATAGTGCAGCTCATCAAACAAACACCACTGCTGATAGGGCGGATGCAAGGAGGGATAACGCCAACCACCAAACAATACCAATTGTTCACGCCAACACACCATAGAGGCACTGCCTTTGGGCGATGGATATGAACCCATCGACAGCGGACGTTCCCAACGCATTTCCGACAAATCAAAACGCCACAAATCATTGAAGGTCGTATCCGAAGAACTGCCACCACCAAAGACATACATGGAATTACCATGGCGTACAGCGGAATGCGAGAAGCGGCCAGCAATAATGGGTGTTGTGGGACTGCCACAATTTGTGCCAGCATTTTTGGCCTCAATGGAGGCGGCAGTTTGCTGGGAATACACCTGCCAGCTGAGGCGATAGTCCACCAGGCCCTTGTGTAAATTGATTTTGGAGCGGCGTATGAGATCTGTAAACAAAACGACCAGAGATAAGAATTTCTTTAAAGGAATTCGATGCGCTACTCACTCTTCACAATGCCATTCCAACGTTTACACACCAAACGGCAATTTTCCAAATCCTTATATGGCGGCAGGTAGGTTAAAATAAATTCCAACATTTCATCGGGCAACATATTTACATGATATACTTCCACTTCCACGTCGTTGTTGTCGTCTTGGTCGGGCGATTCACAAAAATTTGCATCAGTTCCGTCCGCAATCACTTTCTCATTTACAGCCTGGCTATTTGTTTTATTTCTTATTGATTCACGGCAGTCACCAGCAGTGTTGTTGTCGTCACCACAACCACCACCACTGTCGTCCTCGTCATTGGTACATTGTTTGTGTTGCTGCATTGTCGCCAGATTGACCTTGTCGTTTTGGCTGCATTGGCATTGATCCTTAACCTTCATTTTCGTCGTCTCATCGTCCATGATCTTAAAATAGCCTTGTTGAGTTTTGTTTTTCTTTTTGTTGGCTGACGTCTATGCCGTCGGTTGGTTGGTTATCCTCTTACACGACGTTATTGGCCCGCAAATCGGATTTTTTCCTTTGTTTTTCGCCTCTTTATTTTTCCCGTCGTTGCTGTTGTTGACGGCGTTGTTGTTGCTGCTGCTGCTTCTACTACTGTTGTTGTCTCACTGTTTCTTTGGTCTCGGCTCCTTTTCATTAGCCGTCCGTATAAATTTGTGCCCAGTTTTTCTTTCTTTTCTTGTGCTTTACACCACCTACCACTTTTATTGTTATTGTATGTTACAATTCAAGTGGTGTATATCCCCACGTTCCTTGGACTTCCTTTGTTCGCCTTTTGTTTCTTCCGTGCTTTTTTGTATAATTTTATTATGAAATTACAATAATCTAATTCCTTCCAATTGGAAGAGACGATGAGAGCAATGAGAGTGAAGTTGGTCGTGATGCCATTTCTTAAGCAATCAAATTGAAAAACGTTCCATATTCGATGAAAAGAATGAGTCAGAAGGGAATGGCGGATGAAAATAAGAAATCAAAACAAAACGGAGTGAAATCCTCTGGTTGTCTGTCTCACTAACTGGCTGTGTTGTATAGAAATCGAACATGGAAGAAGGGAAAATCAGCTGTTTGTTTGATTTCTGTAAAATGAACTAACGAAACTATTTCCATTTAATAATCGTTCAATTGGAATACATGGCGCTATAATCAAGTTGGAATATTAGCAACTCTGTGAGTAGTGGCTTCATCTGTCAAATATGAAGTAAAAATACACATCAAGATGGAGGTTTTTGCGATTTTATGAGCAGATATATTAAAACCCCAAATATTAATAAAACCCCAATGAATTGTTCCCATAATTTAGGTATTGTTGTAAAATTAAAGGAAGTTTCACAAATGTAAGCACTTATTAAGACAAAAAATTAAATAACAAAAAAATATAGAAATGTTCCTATGTTTTTTCTAGGTAAAAAACAACTAAAAATTCAAATTCGACATTGGGTATCCATAATGGAATGTAATTCTTGAACTCTTTAAAGGTAGCAAATATGCTGCTGCCATTTTTTTTTTTTTTTTTTTGAAAATAGATGAACTTTGATGAGAACGGAACAGGGGGCGGTCAAAACATGGGACAACCATTATCCCCAACCGAAGAAGCAATATAAAATCTAATTGGAATGAAATCGTCTACCGTCGAAAGAGTAGCGGTGAAATCCATTGGTCTTGCAGAAGATGAAGGGACGTATCGATTTTTTTGCACAATATTAAAATGTAGCATTCAAAGAAAGTGAAACCAATGAGGAAATTGAGCAGCAGTTTTGCGCAATGGATGTTCCAATCTGCGATGATGGGGAAACAAGTATAATAAACCAAAAAGTCAGTCGAGTACAATCTCCAACGAAGAAATACTTCTAAGTGTGCTAGAGGTCCAAAAACAAGTTTTACAATTACAATGAAAGGGATTGAAAGGAAATTAAAAAGCAATATTCACAAGCGAATCTACAGATCTTTAGACAAATTAGGAAAACTTCATAAAAAAACCCTACCAGGAGACAGGGTAATTAAAAAAAGGAATTTTATAATAATCCTTATAATAAACCTGAAATTATTCCTTTTTAAAACTCAGAATTTATAATACGTTTACATTTAACCTCCTTGAGAAAGGCTGCTATTAAACTTAGTACAGATTGGGACGTTTTTAGAGAACAATTCATAAGGTGAAGTCATTGACATAAAAATATGGACGACTCTGGGGTTACGAACTGGAAAGTATCTGAGAAATGTTCCTTCTTGGACCATAGGTCGCATTTATCTTCCGACTTGGACGAAATTTGGCACAGCTCATTTATTCGGCCTGAGGACGAACCATATTGAAATTGGGAAAAATTGGTTCAGATTTAGATATAGCTCCCACCTATATTTTTGTCCGATTTAAGGTAAATGGTGCACCAAGCTCCCAAGGATTTTCCGATTCAAACAAAATTTTGAACAGCGTACTGACCGAAGTCCTGTTTGATGTCCGTGATGTTTTATTGAAATCGGTTCAGATTTAGACATAGCTCCTATGTATATTTTCGTCCGATTGAAGGTAAATGGTGCACCAACGACCCTATATATCTTTCGATATGCACGTAATGTGGCATAGCGTACTGAATTAGGACTAGAATGACGTACGTGAAGTTTCGTGAAAATCGTTTCAGATTTCGGTATAGCTCCCACATATATTTTCGTCCGATTTAAGGTAAATGGTGCGCCAAAGTCCCTATATATATGGTGCACCAAAGTTCTTATGTATCTTTCGTTCAATTTCATGTCAATGTTCTTTCGAAAAGGCGACGTCTGTTAGGAGAATATAACCAAAGTGTTAAAGGGTATGATATAGTCGGTTGGTCCGACTTTACTACTTTCCTCATTGGTTTTAATTCCAATTTGTTTTCTCATCCTAAAAGTATGCTTTACGAAATATGTAGTAGGGGACTTGCTATAAATTACATTTACAAATAGTTTTCCGTTAAATTTGACTAGGAATATTTTCAAAATTTAAATTCTATTTCATTTCAGCTTTGAAATAAAACACCTTTATTTAACTTCTGACGATTTTTCTAAGATGTTATTTTTATTTAATTCTTTTCTTGTATGGGGATAATATTTGATTTGAGATAATTCATTTTGTTTTGTAAGATGTTTTTGAAATTTATAGAAAAAAATGTCTTTTTTGTTTACTTTTTTTAAATACAATTAGAGCGAGCTTACAATTATTAGAGTATGGGAAGAGTTGTTGTTTAAGAGTTATTTGTTTCTTCTTAAGAGATTTGGCTACATTCAATTAAGATTATTAGCATTCTTTTCTTAGCCAATATTTTTTTCTGTTTATGTTTCCGAGTAGTTGTAGTTTTCATTTTGGGGCGGAAGGAAAAGGGATGGAGACATCCCCCCTCAATTTCCACACCAAAAAATATTCATCATCATCATTGAAAAAAGTGTAAATTATAAAAAAGAAAATATTTTATAAAAAAAGTAAGAGTCGCACAAAATGAATGCCGGACAAAACATTCATTTTATGCAGTTTGTATACCAGTTATTTTTTATGTATAAGTATTATAAGATTGTATAAAATTGGTACATTTAGTAATAAGAATAATATTTATATATATATTGAGTAGGTTGGTTGTTGTTGTTCATTGGTTTTTTGTTGTGATTTTTTTTCTTTTTTTGGATTTTAAGTTTTATGCATGCATAAATTGATTTTTTTCATATATGAAGAATGTTTGTTGATTTTTTAAGAGTATAAGAAAAATTGTAATAAATCTTTTTGTTGTTGGTTTTGTGTGTAAATGACTACATATATATTTTTGTTTTTTTGTATAATCTTGTGGGTTATTTTACTTGGGGGTAGAGCGATTAGTTTCATTAATTCATTTCATTTTTTGTGTTCATGTTGTTGTTGTTTAAATGCAACTTTGATTCATACACTTCCAGATGGTGGTTGTTGTTGTTTTGGTTATGGAATTGTAACATGTTTACTCCCACTCAGCCTTCCATCTATCCATCACCTGCTTCATCATATTGTATGTAAATCTACTCAATCTTCAACAATTCCACATCAAAATGGAGGGTGGCATTTGGTGGAATGACACCGGGATGACCACGTGAGCCATAGGCATAATCGGGCGAGCAAATCAATTTGGCACGTTGGCCAAGAGACAATTGAGCCACGCCCTCATCCCAGCCACGGATTACTTCGCCACGGCCAATGGTGAATTTGAAAGGCTTGTTGCGATCCCGCGACGAATCGAATTTGGTGCCATTTTCCAAGGTACCGGTATAGTGGACCGATACTGTGTGGCCATTCTTGGGGAATGTGCTGCCTGTAGTGGCGGCAGCAGCAAGTCAGTTGTTGTTTGCGATAACATTTTTTGCAATGTGTGCAAAGAAACAACAGCACACACATCCACACAAAAAGCAAGACAGCGCAGCACCGCACACACACATACAGCGAAATGCCAAGCAGTAACAAACACCAGAACAAGAAATGGAAGAAAAAGAGTTGCAAAAAATTAAGGTTAGCTTTTGCTTCCCAATAATATTTCATTTAATTTGTACTTGAATTTCAAAACCATTCGAATATTACAACACATATATTTTCAAAACAACCTACCATCACCGGGAGAAATTGGCACAATTTGTACACCCATGTTGTTTTCTTGCTTTTGTTAAATGTTAAAACACTTCTCGGGAACAGAAGAATAGAATTACCGCACGCACGGCTTTTTTGCAAAATCAAGTATCTATTGATTAGGGATCTAAAATTCGAGGGAATGATAACAATCGATTAGTTGAATAATCGTTTTATCGTTGGAAAACAGAATCGAGGGGGTTTTTAAACAAGGCAATAAGAGTCTAAACGCAACCATAGAGTCAGGAGTCAGCGGCATACGATGGGGAATCTGTCGAGACCCCAGCAACGGACAGCGGCTAAAATGTTGGGAAGGCCCGAGAAGTAGCTGATGCGAAACACTACAAACGTGCTGTTTCCTATCTCCGCAAATTCGTGGGGCAAGACGCGAATTTGATTTCGGAAAGGTTCACCTTAGGGATACGTAGTCGAGCGCAAAAGTCGACTTTTTGACTTTTCGATTTTTGCCTCTGACTATGGCACAATGAATAGGTAGTCCATTTAGCGCACCTGATGTCGGGATTAACTGTCAAAGTGTGTAATTTCTACTTGAATTAGATGTGCAGTGTTGCCAACCATTTGAATTATTATATGGAAAAATTTGACAGATGATCGAGACAAAAACAAAGATTTTTGTTTTGATACATCACCTTATTATTGCATCGTGCCTCTGACCAAAAAAGTCGATTTTTAAACTTTTCGATTTTTGCCTTTGACTAAAAAAGTCGATTTTTTGATCTTTCGATTTTGTCAAAATAGTTCAAAATCGATTTTTGACTTTTACTGACTTCCGGCAAAATCGACTAAAAATTAGATTTTTGGCAAATTGAGCTTTGTGATAAATAACCAAATTTTTACGAAGAAAATCAAAAGCGGATCTTGAAAAGTCGACTTTACGATTATCTCATAGATCAAAAGTCGACTTCACACGGTTCACGTTAAGCACCTCTACTTCGACAGTACTCTATTTAATTGCTATATTCCATGTATGGGTCACTAGAGTCTAGCTCAAGAGAGATATGCCTGTATTGAACATATTGGTGAATAAAGGGCTAACCAGAATGCTCGCGTTGAGCCATCCGTTGCGTTATGTGTTATCGAAAATACAACAACCACAAGGAAACGATAACACAAACCTCGAAGTTGATGTGCGCTGCGCTTCGGAGTTAAATATATTTTAACTTTTTGCGTGCGTTAACGCGATAACAAATAACGCTCAACGCGAACATTCTGTTTAGCCCTTAAAGAGCTAAGCAGAATGCTCGCGTTGAGCCATCCGTCGCGTTATATGTTATCGAAAATAAAACAAACACAAGGAAACGATAATACAAACTCATATCGTTTTCTTGTGGTTGTTGTATTTTCGATAACATATAACGCGACGGATGGCTCAATGCGAGCATTCTGCTTAGCCCTTTAATGGCGAAAATCGATCCTGAAAGGTCGACTTTACGATTTTCTCATAGATCAAAAGTCGACTTTGACTTTTAGACTTTTCAATACAAAAAGTCGATTAATCGATTAGTCGATTTACTTATCCCTAGTTCACCTCATCAAGGACAAGATGAGATTCGTTAGGAAGTTCGAATGAATTTATCCGCACGCTCTCCATCTTGAACTCCAGATGGACAGGATCTCCCTGCCGAATCAAATGAATTAAATTCTTAAAAAACGTTTAAAAGTAGTGGAATCGGCGAAGCCCAATGTCTCTGACAAAGGTGCTAAGCCGACTTCTGATCTGAAGCCTAGTTCGAAACCTAACCCTAGTCAAAAGGCAAAGGAAAATGCTACTGTCATTTAATTTTCTTTGATAGAACACAAACTTGAAGCCTACTTTTTTCGCTTCTCCCTGTTACTCGTCTTTTACACACTTGAAAAAAATAAAAAAATATAAAACTGTGAGTTGTAGAAAAGGTATTCCGGGCGGATTATTTATTCGACACATTTTATTAAAAATTGGATAAGTAACTTCTATCCAAGAAACCATAAATTAAAAAAAAAAAATAAACTATAAAATTAAAATTACTTCTGGTTCTTCGAAATCGAGGGATTGATTTGAAATAAAATTAAATATTTCACAAACTAAAATAAATTGAATTAAATTCTTAAAAAACGTGTATAAATATTAAACACACAACTTTACATATCTACATTTTCCGAAAGCCAACACAATTTGGCAAATAATTACTATCAAATTCAACCTGACCAATACGACGACGACGTTGTTGTTGGGGTTTTGAAAAATTTGAATTATTTCTCGTCGCCGCATCCACCAATTGCATATTTATTATAATTGATTTTGGTATAATCTTGCTTTTTCTTCTTCTATTCGATGGCTTATTTATAATTGTTGCAGATCGTTGTATTTTTATGCATGTCTTAGCACGCCATTTATGTCGCTGTGTTTGGAAATGTTTAATTTTTTCTTCGGCCTTGGTAAATTCTATATTACATAATTTACATTTGTATTTCTGCGTCTGTCGATTATGTTCCATAAAATGAAGATTTAGATAATGCTGTGTAGAAAATTGACGTTGACATTTATTACAAATATAACGCCCAAAATCTTGAATATGCAAATGATAATCAAGAAATACTCTAAAAAAAAATAACAAAAGAAGTGTTTTGAATATTACAAACCAGTAAGGAAAGTAGTAAAGTCGGACTGAGCCGACTATATGATAACCTTCACCACTTCATTACGTTGTGCAAAATTTCGTACAAATCGAAAGATATTTTGGGACTTACACCATTTAACTTAAATCCGAAGAAATTATATATGGGAGTTATATCTAAATCCGAACCGATTTTCACGAAACTTAGCACACATCATTCCAGACTTAATTCAATAAGCTGTGCAAAATTTCGTGCAAATCGAAAGATATTTAGGGACTTTGGTGCATTATTTACCTTAAATCGGACGAAAATAAACATGGGAGTTATATCTAAATCTGAACCGATTTTCACGAAACTTCACATAAGTCATTCTAGACCTAATTCATTACGTTGAGCAAAATTTCGTGCAAATCGAAATACATTTAGGGGCTTTGGCGCACCATTTACCTTAAATCGGAAGAAGATATATATGGGAGCTATATCTAAATCAGAACCGATTTTCACGAAACTTAGCTCACATCATTATAGACTCAATTACGTACGCTATGCCAAATTTAGTGTAAATCGAAAGATATTTAGGGACTTTGGCGCACCATTTACCTTAAATCGTGTGTGGTGAAGGGTATAAAATAGTCCAACGGAGATTATGAGAAGTACTTACCTGCTGGTGAAACAATCATTACATTTGGGACAATAGAAACGTGGTTTTTTAAAATGATCGATATAATCGTGCAACATCATAGTATTCAGTGAGAAGGCTGTAAAACTACAGTTGGGTTCGTAGCAAGTAATATATTCGCTTTTAACTTCGGTCTTCAGGCGCTCAAGTAAATATGTATCTGAATAAAAGAGGGAGAAAAATTAAACTTCAGTTCAATGGCACTTTTAAAATATTACTTACTATATTCCCACTGAGATTTCCAAAGGACGTCACGGTTAGACGACAAATACAAATCAGTCAAAGGTGTCAACTGTTTGCCAAGCCATTGATTTGTGGTCGATAAACAATTTGAATTTTCTTCAAATATGTCATTCTCTGCTCTGATGGATGGTGGTTTCCTATAAAGCGTGGGATTTCTTATATCATAATCGGTAATAGTAGAAGATGCTCTGTCATTTATCTGTGAATTCCCTAATGTACTACCAACATCATAAAGCTCGGGATGACGTCGTACATAACTTGTTATGTTTGAATATTGATCGGTATAACATTTCGAACTTATGTTATTATTCGCATCAAGGCAAATAGTGGTTGACGACCGGCTTGATCTAATATTCGTTGTCGAAATATTTTCAAATGAAGAACGACTTCTTGTGGCTTTCGTTATGGTTGCAATTGATTCTGATTGAGTTGAGTTGTCACATTCTAAATCAATTAAAAAATATCGGGAACGCTTGCAGAACTTTGTTTTTTGGGAATGTTTAAGAAGCGATTGGTTTGCTTTGCCTTTAATAGAATGACTATTTTTATTTTTAATTTTGTTTTTATTTGTGCGATTCTTATTTTTCGCTACATTTTTGGTTTTATTGATATTTTCCTGGCCTTTATTTTCCGTAGTTTTATTTTTATAACTCGATTTAGTACTTTTCATATCGTCAAACATTATATTCTCAGATTTGCCGGTTACTCCATCTTCTTTACCCAATGACAAGGCCAGGCTATAGGCTCGTGTTTTACGTCGTGAAGGCGGCAGCAAATTCCCCGTTTGCTGTTGGTTCTGCATTTCTCTTTTTGCTTCATATTTGCCTGTACATTCCATTAGATGAAAATTGTATTCTTTCGGAGCTGCACATAACGCCCCGCATATATTGCACTTGAAGTTTTTTTCATGTTCTCCTACATAGTGTTCCTTTAGATCCTTATAATTTTCTCCATTATATTTACATATTTTACAGATATATATTGGCTTCTTCTTAGGCTTGGGTTTGCCGTTATCGTCATCATCATTGTATCTTTTTCTTTCCGCACATGATTTGATGTGTTTTTTATAGAAATAATTCGAACGATAAATTTTACTACAAAATTCACATACATATGTTGTGGGTTCCGGCGGGCCATATTGGAATCCATTACATATTTTACCACCCGATTCAGTATGTCGGGGTGAAATAGAAATTTCATGATGTATTTCTAGCATACTATTAAGCTGAATATTATTCGATGATTCTGTTGGCGAATTATTGTCATCAATGGAGGAGGGATGACTTGTAGTTAGACTTGGCTTCCCAGGAGCCGTCGAATTTTCATTTATATTTGCATGTTCATTTGATTTTATTTGTTTCTTTATTGTTTTCCGATTTTCATTTGCATTTTCTTTTGATACATTCTTGGAACTGCCTTGTCTATCTTCTGGAACTGCCTTGTCTATTGAACATTTTTCTGGTGCTGTAATATTTGTGGTCAATGCTGGACAGATTCTGTTCTTTTTGTTGTT